TATGGAGATTGTGATGATGCGATTAAATAAATGTCAATAGTAAATCACTGGAAACAAACATTGGCCAGCAAAGAAATCTCAGGTTTCAGGGAGAAATCTCAGGTTTCATGCGAGTGAATATAGCAAAATGGGATTTCTAACTCGAATTCACTTAATAATATAATCAACCAACTCTCACAGTGACGCTTATTTAATATATCAATCAACCTAAATACTTGACTCTCGCAAAGCAATTAGATAGATTTATATGCATAAAAGGGATTAAGATTCGATATATTAACCTAACCCTTAATACGACTCTCGCAATGATAAAGTTTAAGCTTATCTATACTAGTTCCAATCATGCAATCATGACTCCCTAACATGACTTTTGCAATGATAAGGTTCAAGCTCGTAAGGATCGATCTAGATTCAATCACAAATTGGTTAAACTGGCAATATGCAGAAGATGAAAACTCCATTAAATTCCTAAGCATGAATGAACGAGGAACATAGATCTATTTAGGTTGTCAACAAGACTAAACCAATGTATAACAAATCACTAAAGTTGTCAATCAAAGAAATCATGTATTAAGCATATAGTAGTTCCAAATCAATTCCTATTTATCGATCCATGAAGAACTCCCCTTGAAAAACCCTGAAACCCAACAATCAAACTACTCAATCATAGAAGTGAAGATCATAGTAAGAGTAGAATGAAAAGATAGCATTAATAAAGAGGGTTTAAAGAGTTTCTCTCTGCTGGTACAAAGATTGGAGGTTTTCTCCCTTGAATCAATACGTAAAAGCTCCATAAAAACCTTAAAACTAAAGAGTTTGAGCCAAAGGTGTAAGATCTCAAACTTGCAGTAGAGGTTTGGGTAGAAAATACTTACTGAAAAATGAATTCAGTTGCGGCAGAAATCCTACCAGACTAGGAAATGGCCTAGCGGGCCTTGACCACCCTATGGTTGGGCTTGGGACTGCTGATGACGTGGAAGCCCTAAAAGAGAGGAAGGAAACCCTAGTTTTTCCTTGGGAAAGAAGGGAAAATGTGGTGGCTAAGTGGGCTTGGCCCGTGTTTTAAGGAGGTAGAGAAGAATAAGGAAAGTGAATATTCTCTAGATTGATTTTCGTGGGGTATGAATAGGGAGCTAGAGATCTCATATTTGATACACCAAAATCATTCTTCCCTTCTAGAGCCAAAGATAAACACTTAGGAAGAAAGAATCGGAGGAGCTTGAGAAGGAACTCAACACCCCGGCCCCTAGGCATTCACGGTTGAGGTAAGACGCGATCCACACCTAATCTTCCTCTCTTGTCCTTTATTATTATTTTTTTCATAGGATATTT